AATATGTTGGAACCGGGCACGAGGTAGTTCGAATGTATGTAGTGGAGATGACATGTGTCGGGTAATTTTTGAAGTCTGACAGGCGTGGCATGCTTTAGCCCATGCTCGGCAGTCTTTGTTTATACCGGGCCAAACGTAACGCTGTGCTACTAATTTTGCGGTAGCATTAGCGCCTGGGTGACTCAGTGAATGCAGTGTTGCATAAATTTGCCGTCGAAGTTTTTTGGGCACATAAGGGCGTGCTACCTGCAATTTATTGTCGCAGTATAGTTCTTCTAGTGTACCCGGTATTTTAACCTTAATTAGTTGAAGCGATGTTTCACCATTTATTAAATTTTCTAGCTCAGGATCTTCTAATTGCGCTTTTGCGAGTGTGCTTAAGTCGACAGGCTTAGATAATTCCTCTATTCGTGAAAGAGTGTCAGCTACGACATTTTCTTTTCCAGAAATATGTTGTATGTCCGTGGTGAATTGGGATATGTAATCTAAATAGCGAAATTGCCGTGGTGAACAATTTTCTTTTCGACGTTGAAATGCGTAGCATATTGGTTTGTGATCAGTAAATATGGTGAAATGTCTGGCCTCGAGCATATGTCGAAAATATTTTATATTTTCATAGATCGCTAATAATTCTCGGTCGTACGGAGAATATTTTCTTTGTGAAGGACTCAATTTGCGAGAAAAGAAGGACAGAGGCTGCCATTCACCATCTTTAAATTGCTGCAGAACTCCTCCAATTGCTATATCTGAAGCGTCTGTTACTAGTCCTAGTTTTGAATTTAGATCAGGGTAGGCCAAAAGGGTTGCATTGCATAATTCTTCTTTGCATTTTTCAAATGCTATTAGTGCGTCACCTGTAATATTAACTGGCTGTGAGCCCTTCACCGCACCTGTGAGGAAAGAATTTAATGGAGCTTGAGTTTCTGCTGCTCCTGGGACAAATCTGCGATAGAAATTTAACATTCCCAGGAATCTTAATTCTTTCACGTTCTTTGGCACTGAAAAATCTTTGATAGCTTGTACTTTTGAGGCCAAGGGTTTTACGCCTTCGGGTGAAACGGTGTAGCCTAAGAATGTTACAGTGGAGGCTCCAAATACACATTTGGACGTGTTTATTACCATTCCATAGTCTTGTAATTTTGTAAAAATTTGATGAAGATGTTTAAGGTGTGTTTGTTCATCTTTCGAAAAAATTAAAAAATCGTCCAAATAGGAGTAACAAAAATCGAGTCCTCTCGTCACATCATCCATGAACCTCTGAAACGTTTGGCTAGCGTTGCGGAGGCCAAACGTCATATACGGGAACTCATACAATCCGAAGGGCATCGTTATAGCCGTTTTCGAAATATCTTCTGGATTTACCGGTATTTGATTATATGCTTTCACTAAATCAAGGGTTGAAAATATTTTGCATCCTGATATATTGTACGTAAAGTCCTGTATATTACGCATAGGATACCTATCGGGTATCGTGCGTGCATTTAATAGCCGGTAATCGCCACATGGTCTCCAGCCGTTATACTTTTTGGGTGCCAGATGTAGTGGAGATGACCATGGACTCTCTGAAGGCCTTGCTGTTCCATTTTTGAGCATAGCTTCAAATTCTGCCTTGGCTATTTTCAATTTGTCAGGAGCCAATCGCCTTGGTGCACAAGAAACTGGAGGTCCTGGAGTTGTCCTAATATAATGAAGAGTATTATGAGTAGGAACTTTGTGCGTGCCTGAAGGGCGAGTTATATCAGGGAAGTTGCGCAAAAGATTGTGATACTTAAATTCACCGGAAATCGTTTTTACCGATAATATGGCGTTTGACGAAAGAGCTGATGTGGCAGAAGCTGATAAATTTGTACTGCTATCTATGAGACGTCGATTCCGGCAGTCAATAATTATGTGGTAGAATGATAAAAAAATCAACACCTATTATGGCCTTATTTACATCAGCGACTACAAATCGCCAGCTGAGATCGCGCCGAAGACCTAAGTCTAAATTAAAGTGTACGAACCCATACGTAGATATCGGCGTTCCGTTGGCAGCAAAAAGTTCGTACGTCGTTTGCGGTCGTCTCTGCTTTGTTGCGGCGCGGGGAAAAACGCAGATGTCGCTACCTGTGTCGACAAAGAATTGCACTTTTGATCGTCGATCCGAAACAAACAGGCGACCGGATAAGCTAAGGCAATCGTCTGTCGCCATTAACGACCGCCTTGAGAGTTTCCCTGTTTATAGTCGCATGGATTGAGGCATATTTTTGCTTTATCGCCGTACTTGTGGTGATAGAAACAAATGGGAATTTTTTTATAGGTAATTGGATTGAGACCAACGAGACCTACTGTTTTTGCGTTGGTTGCGACTGTAACGGTTCCTTGAACGGGATCTACTCCTGCTCTCCTGGCTTGAACCTGACGAGTGAGTTCAGCTATTTGTTGAGTCATTTTGTCTATCACAGCAACGGATATTGCGTTTGTTGACACGACTTGTGGCACAGTAGGTACGAGGTCGTGAACTTGCTAAGTCTGCAAGTGCTTGCAGCGTTGAGTCTGGTTGTGACGCTATGTCTGTAGGTTATTTGGCAACCTACTAGACCAAATTGTTCTAATAAAATCATCAGGAACATTAGGACCTGCTAAGTGTTGCAGATGCCTCAGAAATTGTGAGGGGCGGCGATCACCAAGCTCCTCGTGCATCAGTAGTTGCTTTACTTCCTTTTCTCTTGATGCTGACAATCTTTTAATCAGTTCGGTCTTTAATTTCTCGTATTTGCCCTTTTCTGGCGGTGAGACGATAATGTCCTTCACTTCAGCTGCGTAGCGATGCTCCAGTTGTGAAATGACATAAAAGTATTTGGTGTTATCATCCTTTATTCTGGAGAGTGCCAAATTGCCTTCTATTTGGGCGAACCATACGCCTGGTTCTTCTGGCCAAAACGGGGGCAGACGTACTCCGACGCGACAAATGTCGGAAGGTGTAAATGACTCCACCCCATATGCGCTACTTTCTCCTGCTTTATTAGTGTCGTTGGTTTTTGCCATTGTTATTAATGAGCTTTTGATGAACTATTTTATTTAGTGTCCAAACTTCCGGGGTCACCAGTGTAGTGAAATTGGTGATAAAATTATACTAACTGTTCACTGTTATAATGTTTATTTCCCTTGGATACAGCTGCACAATTCACAATATACACAAATTAGAGTTTATTTATTATAATAATAAATGTTTATAAATTGAGAATTACAAGAGAAAGATTACACAGATTTCGGACAGAACACAAACACATTTAAAGTTCACACTAACAGTACAATTACTATCACAATACAGTTTATAACAACACACAAATCTTTAAGCAGAAGGCTAACACAATTTTTGTAAGAATTTAGGCTGTTTTACTCATTTAGCAACTACATTTTATATTTAAGGAAACGAAGTGAATATCGCTTATGACAGTTGTCAGTCAGAACTCTCTTTTTAATTTTTGACATATATTTATGTGGCTACGCCACAGGGGCTACCCTAATAAAACATTTTTTTCCAATTTTATTTTTACCACTTTGTCGGCGTGATTGATACACATATTGGTACCAAATTTCAGCTTTCTAGTGCTAACGGTCACAGAGATTAAGCGAGGACGGACAGACGGACAGACAGATATGGCGAAACTATAAGGGTTCCTAGTTGACTACGGAACCCTAAAAATGACTACCAGTAATTTACACAATGCTATTGTTAGGAATATCGCGAGACACTTTTTGCCGTCATCTATCCCCCGAACTATACGATCTATGAGCTCGTGAACCGTATCATCTGTAGACCTACCAGCAAGGAAACCATATTGTTGCTATGAAAGAAGCTTGTTTGTTTCAAGGTAGTTCACAAGTCTTTTGTTAATAACGCGTTCCAGAATTTTTGATAAAGATGTTAAAATTGATATGATTCGGTAGTTTGAGACAATGCCTCTATCACCACTTTTGAAAATGGGACGGATAATACTTCTCTTAAAAGCGCGAGGAAAGATGCCAGTAGAAAGGCAGACGTTGCATAGGTATGTTATCGGGGGAACAAGTATGTCTCTGTAGGTCTTTAGCAAGTCACCTGATATACCGTCCCATCCTGTAGCACAACTGTTTTTAATGACATAATGAGATAAACTAGGTTATATTATATGTTCAGTTTACGATTTTATGTAAAAATCGCGGTTGCCGTTTATTGATTGTTAATTATACACTTCTCACATACTATTCAATTTTATTTATGCCTTTGTTACATTAAGAAATTCGCTGGAAATGATTAATATTCAATTTTATTTACGCCTTCGTTACATTAAGAATTCCACTCTCGCATCTGCCACTGACCGACGCGTTAACACACACACACGGGTTTCTGCAGAATACCAGCGCTGGTCATCCCAATGGGGGTGTCAGCTTATGCTGAGCAGCTGAACCTCGACTCAGCATTGCAACGCTCACATTTCCTGTACATAGTTTTTATTTTTTGTTGAATGTTATAGTTTTTCTTCTTTTTTTATTTTTCGCTAATATTAATTATACTTGTTGTTTTCTACATATGTACATGTTGACTGTTTATTTTTTGCCAGTGTTGTTTGTTGAGTTGATTAAATGGTTTTATTATTATTATTATTAGATTATGTACCTCCTCGTAATCAGTATCTAGCATAACAAATGATTTATTTGTAGTTTGATTTATATCAGGTTTATTGTAATTACTTATCAAAATTTTGTTAGCTTATTTCACACCGACGTTAGTATAATATTTATTAACTTCATTAACAGATTCTACAGGAGTTGAAAGATGTCCCAGCAAATCGTTTGCCTCTAAACTATGCTTATTGAGATGTGTAGCACTTTTTACTACTTCCCATATCTTTTTACTGTTATTGCCGGCTTTTTGAAGTTCACTGCTTTGATACTGTATTTTAAGTTTTTTAAGAATATCATTACAGAAATTGCGACAATTGGGACAATCTTATATTTTTAGTGTTATTTTCCAGTCATTTTGATAAGGTTTCTACTAAGAAATTTGCTAATTCTTCAGGATTATTATTGTCATATATTTGACCAAAATTTGCGTCTAATAAAAACTGCTTAAGACCAACGTGATCAATTTTTCGAATACATCTGTTAAAATAGCATTTAGGTTGTTTGATTTTAAGACTAAGGCTTACAGCTTCATGATCAGTTAAACAAGTTAGTATAACAAATGATTTAGTGGGCTGACGTATTTTGAGTGATAAATGATCAATACATGTGAACATTCGAGTAGACGACGTAAAAGCTGGAAGAAGTCCATGGGATGCTGTTAAATTTAAATATTGTTCGGCTTGCTGGTTCATATTGCCAGGGGAGATATCTATATTAATATCGCCCATTAGAACGATATTTTTGAAGCATTTTAGTTCAGTGAGAAGTTGGTTCAAGGATGAAAATTTTTTTGTTGCATCGTTTTTAGAGCAGTATGGACGATAAATCCCTATCACTACTGTATGTGTTCCAAATTTAATTATCAAGCAGTTAGCTTCTTGGAAAGTAGGCTCTTCAACGGTGCATTTCAAGTTATCTTTAATATAGATCAGAATTCCGTCGCTTTGATTGTACGTTTGTTTCGTGGCATGAGAAGAATACGATTCTAATAAAGGTATTGGACCAGAGCAGGACAGCCAACATTCAGTCAGGATAATTAGATCAAAATCTACATGCATCATTTTTATAAGCACAGTTAAACCATCAAAGTTTCGTTTTATGCTTCGAATATTTTGACATAGAATATTTGTGTAGTTTTTTGGTTGACTTGCTGTCGCACACATCCTCAGGATTGCAAATATAAAATTCTGAATTTGTAATATCATCTAGATTATTCGATATTTCATTTACGTTAGCGCCTTTTATGTATATTTATTAATAGGTGACGAAATGATTGCAACCACGTCATACTATTAGTTTTAGGATGGCCTAATATTTTATACCGCATCTTATTATTAAGGTTATGATAAACTATTTTAAATCCTAACATATAAATAATCAAATTGTAACAAGTTATTTTATACAATATTATTTTTTTACAGTTCATGACAATGTAAAAACTGTGAGACTTAATATAATTTGTGTTGTATAGTCTTTGTTTAGTAAGTAAGTGAGTAAATTGTGATTGTTGATTAAGTTTGACCTTAAGTAAACAAGTTGTGGTATGCATTAAATGATTGTGAGTTATGTGTGGGAGTGTATATGAAATAGTGTAGGTTATGTTTATTAAAAAAGAGGATAGCTTAGTGTATATTTTCTTAAACTTAACTAATTTAACGTAAGAGTATTCTAGGATAACTAATATTATAAAACATCTTACGTCTAGTCACTTAGTATTTTTAAGTTCGGAGAGCTGGGATTCGTTTCTTATGAGAATGTGTGGATCTCCTTCTCTACGGCGCAAGTACACATTGTCGTTTGACGTCCACCAATATGAGTAACCCATAGTTTTGGCTATATCTCTTGCAAGAAAGTTATAGTCTTTTAAATTTTGTTGTCAGATGTTCACTTACGTAAATTGATGATTTAACATTCATAATTCCCATATGATTACAGTTAAGTGAATCTTTAGGTTTGTCTTTAATATAGCGTTTTACTGCTTCAATTACCTGACTCCTATGTAGACTACTCCCTAACTCAGCTACGATTGTGGAGGATGTTGCATCAGCCTTGCTTGGCAGACGATAAACATCACGAAGATTATTTTGTTCCATAGATACATTTAAGTTCGTGATTCGTGGGTGTGTGCATATTTGAATAAAGTCTCCCTATTTTCACCTCTTATTTTCGGAACATTACGTATCTCAATACTCGTCTTGCGAATGTATTTCTCCAAGGCGTCGAATTTCGTATTTATTGTGTTTATTTGTGACTCTGTGTGAGCTTTGCGATCCTTTTCTGTGTTGGAGACATCTTTTTGCAGGTTATCTATTCTGTCTGAGACGAAATTTATGTACTTTTCTATTTCCGAATTGGTTTGTTGTATGATTACATTTTGATTTGTGACAAGTGCTAGTTTTTTTTCTATATTGTCTAATCTTGCATTTTGATTATTAACTAAGGTTTCCAGCATTGTCTTGAGCTCGTTAATAGCATCCGTAGAGATTATTTTAGTCTCGTTATCAGCGTCGCTAGTTAGGCGCCGTTTATTTTCTCGTTGTGTGATATTGGAAGACGCTAATTCGGGGTTAGAGGCAGTTCGTGAAAGCGGTCTTGGCGATAGTAAGTAAAACCGCCAGAAGAGTTATTCGAAGAACATCTCGTAGAAACTCTTAGGAGTTTATTAACTTAGAAGAATCTTAAGAAATTACTCACACTGGGAGCACCGATACTTAAGTTGGTATATTTGAAGTAAAAATCTCGGGATATATTTATAAAATGAATAATCGGCGACGTTTATCAATATTATTCCAAAATTATATTGCTTCAAATAGGTACTTCTGTTTTGATAAAAAATTCAATAGTGTAATGTAGTAAAATAAAACTGCGTTATATTGTAGGGTAGTTTTCAAAAAATTGCCGTTTTTGACAAAAGTAAAAAAAAGTGGTTGAATGCGATTTATATGATATCTTATTTAATTTATTATGTCAAAATGTGTACTTTTGGCTACAAGGGAACCAGGAATAACCAATTTTCTAGGAGGTAAAAGGCAGGTTAATTAGAAACTGACTGGTTAAATTAGATACTGGTAGGTTAGATCAGAAAAGCTTCTGGTGAGTTATAAAACGGGCAATAATCGTAAATAAAAACATAACCAAAATCAAATATTTTTATTATTAAACGAAAAATAGCATTTAAACCATAATTATAAAGTTTCACTATTAATCTGAACCTGAAACAGTTTCATAAATAACATTTAAGTGTCAAACGTATTATTATAAATAAATTATTCAGTCAAGTCAAGGTTTTATTATTTTTAATTTACCTACTTATGTGAAAATAAAAGGGAAATAAACTTTTCTATCTTCTGTAACCTTAAGCGACTAATCAGTAACAAAAAATAAAATTATTATTTTTTATATATATAATTATTATATAATATAATTATTAAAAACACAATAACAATTCTCTCTTCTGAAAGTCATAAAATAATATATACCTACTTCTAAAATTCAAAATGCAAAAGAAAGTAAAAGTTTAAGCTCTTCAAATAAAATTAAAGTAGAGTTAATCAATGTTCAATTTTCTTAGTGACTTTGAATGCTCCTATCCTTTTAGAGGAGGATTTGAAATAAGGTTGTGGAAGTTTTTTAATCACTTGATATTTTCCAATCACGCGTATATCGGGTTTCTCTGGCCATTTAAATATTCTGTCATTAATTTTTCTGGCATTTTATATTAAGGCTAGCAAGACTCATTGATAACTTGGCCCACATAACGATGTATTTTCTTTTTCTAGGAAACAAACTTTATCACTAACCAATCACCGTCATGGACATTGTTTTCGTCAATGCACTCGTTTTCTTCGGATTCATTTTTTTGAGTATTTCTTTTTCCTTTATTTCCCGTCTTTCTGTTACTTTTTATCGGTCCTGCTCTTAGTTGTGAACTTACACATTTGGAAGTTGAAGGTTCAGCAATTAACAAACATGATGTTTTCAAGCAGGTAAGAGAATTTGTTGCATGCTCTGTAGAACGTATTTCAGGACGATGAACAGAGGAAAGCGATACAGCCATATCAGGAGATGATAGCTGAAAAAAAGTTACGCCATGAGCAGATCTTGTAGTTTCAGAAGAGTCAGCAGTGACAGCAAGATCAGTCAAATCCGAGGAAGATTGCTGAGCAAGAGGTTCGTCAAGTGCCGATTTTATTACCGTCTGAAGGGAATGTTCAAGAATTTCAACATCTTCTGAAATATTAAATCCATTGTCAGCCTCCGGTAAATTAATAGAATCCATAGTCATCAAATTCTGAACATTGATCATTTCCTCTGAAAAACATAAGTCAGCATATTCAGATCTCACATCTGATGCCTCAGTCACAATTTCAGACCTAAGTTCTTCCGGCAGATTATTTTCACTCGTAACACAAAATGCGTAAAGGAACTACAGAAGAAAATATATTTGATTGATAAGTATTCTCTATCTCATCAGCTGGGTCTGAATCAGCAGAGCTAGACAAAATATCGGGCCTAAGGACATGTAAGACAAGATATTTGACGTGATTACAGCAGCGAGGCTGAATAATACAAGCTTTTTCAACACAACTTAGGTTTCGCATTGTCACCTGATACTTATCGCTGTCATTCCAAATAACTTGGTGAACTTGTTGGGTCCCTTTGAAAGGACGGAGATCAGTAGGTAACAGTATATCTTTTTCTACAATATCGTAATCTGATACTACTTTAATTACGATATTTTTCACATTAGTTTTTAATTCATCGAGAAAAGTGTCGAAATCGGGAATATCGTGGCCACGGGAAACAATTGCATCAGCAGTGCGTTTCAACGCTCCTCCAACACCGTCGGGTGCCCCCTTGCATTGACCTGACTCAGTGTAGTTCCACGTCAATGAGGCCAGACTAGTATTATACCATTTTAAGGCACCGATAACAAAGAATGTCTTGTAATTTCTGTATTGGCTTGTGGTAGAATCGGAAACATAGTGAAGGGTCGTAATTTGGGGTGCTTTTGTTTGAGATATTCAAGGATAGGAACTACGTGTGCCCAAACAGCAGCAGCATCATGCCTTAAATTTGGACTTATTGTAGCAAAAGATTGTGTTGTTCTGGTATAATCGCTGCAAAAGAAATACAATAAACTTGTATGTAAAGTTATTTGTTTTCTACTTCCACCAAAATGTACTGCCTGAATCTCTTTAGCATACTGACATTTATAGTTTTCTGAGAAGTCAACATGAATAATGGCTTCTTCGGGTTGCAAATTGTTTTTTAATGTCTTAATAGTATTATGCTGAGTTGTCACTCTTCCACAATGTTTGGAAAAGTTCTCTAACTGTCTTTCAAAAAAATATGAATAGCATCTCTTGGCCGGATAGTGATTTTCTCTTTTTTCATCACTCTGATACACTTTTCCCGTCCTCTTTGTACAATTTGTTCACGATTTGATACCCAGGACCAATAGTTAAAATCAATAGAATTATCAAATTCTTGAAAGTTCAGTAAACATTGAGGACTGAAAAGGTCACAGCAAATGTCTATTAGCACGTCAGTGGTGTTTTTGTGAGGAATTATGTGGTGTTTATGCATCGCTACAACTAACAGTCTAAACTTTTCATGGGTAATCCTTGGGTTTTTGCGATGGAAAAAGAACCCAAAATGGTCTAAATCTGCTAAAAGTTGAAAAGCTCAATTTGTAATCGACTTTTGTCAAAAATTTTCTGTGCAAGTGATACAAGGAATCAGTCATGTAGCGTCTCTGTTTTGTTATACCAGCTTTCTTTATAGTTTCTTTTTTCCCAGCAGTAACAAAGCTGTTTTCGTCTTCTTCAAGGAATCTCTTAATATCCTCTCGTATTTTATTAACTTTAGATCCTTTCTGCTCGCTCATCCTCCTTCTAAAAATGTTAATCAATTTTCCTAAACACCCTTTGTCTTTTAATGTAGTTTTTATATTTACTTGAAGGTTCTTTGCAAACTCTTGCTGGTCTTTGTGAGTTTTCAGAGATGTATATGACTGTAGCAATTTGTCATTCATAATATCTACACTGCTTTCTTTTTTTCCCTAGGAAAAAAGGAGGGAAAAAAAGATTCAGTCAGTCTTTTTAATTTCTTCCGGCAAACTTCATTTACTTTCTTAACTCCTTCCAATTGTCTTGTAAGATTGATTGGAAAGGGGAAATTTCTCTGCTGAGAACTGAAGATGTTTCTGAAACCTGTGATGTGCAACCAGAAAGGGGACTTCCTTGCGATCTTGTGATTCTTGGATTTGGATCAGTATTTTCTTTATTGTCTCGCATAATCGGTAACAATGAAGAAGAGGCGAGAATTGAAGGAGAAGGAGAGTTTCTATTTACTATAATCAATTCTGTTCTACGCTCGTTATTATCTTCAGCCTCACTGTGCGGGGCTATGTAACTCCACAAATCTCATTGCAACGGCTTTTGCATCTTTCTTTCCTTTATAATAGGCATTGAAGGCGTCACGCCATTTTTTCTTCGCGCTCTCTTGGCTCTAGGTGTCATCTCTCAATAGAACTCACTTTCTTCTGTGCCTTCCTTTTCTCATATTTAGCTTTATTTTTTAGTTGATATTGAGCGTTAAAGAGAGCCGTGGTAGCTCAGTGGTTAACGCTCGCTGTAAGTATAACAGAACGCGAGTAACCCGGGTTCGATCCCCGCCGGCACCAATGAAATTGTTAATTGCAATTTTAAGTGCTGATTTACCACGTGCTCGGCGGTGAAGGAAAACATCGTGAGGAAACCTGCATGTCTGAGGTTTTTCAATAAGAAAAAAATATTTCGAAGACATGTGAAGTTCGCCAACACGCATTGGGGCAGCGCGGCGGACACTTCCTTGCCCTAAAACCCCCTCAGAAATGAGGGGAGGCCTGTGCCCAGCAGTGGGACGTATATAGGCTGTAACTTTTTAACTTTTATTGAGCGTTAAATACTGGATCTCCCTTAATTTTCTGGTATCTCTTTTGTTCTAGTTCTGTTTTTTTCTTTCCTCATTAGTCGTAGAAAATAGGTTTTGGTCGACCCATTGTTGACCTACAAACAAAATCACACACAGCTTTACTCTTGGTTACAAGTACTTGTACCCGAGAGCAAAAAATTTGACGCTGGTATACTGTGAGGGCGTGGTGCTTTCCCGGTCGAGCCGACCCATTCGTGCTACAACTATACTATTAATATAACTGCAGCATGGCTCTACCACGTATAAAATTTTGTTTAATTAGTGCTTAATTTTTTTTTCTCAACTAATAATTTCATAATTAGTATGTTTTTTCAGAAAGTTGTTTGGTGTTCTTTAAATATTTTGTTCAATATTCTGTTATTTACCAGGTTACACTTTGCTTGTAAAGCGTAAAGTTACTATTAAGTTAATGTAAGTAATACTAAATTTTAAACTTTTGAGATTTTTATTTTTGTTTTTACTTTGTTAAATAATGATACTGACTAGTTCAATAAGTACCTTGTGATTTTTGTTTTGGTACAAAGACTAGAATTTAGATATAGACTAGAATAACACGTTAAGATTGTTATTCATTAGATTTTTTATAAGTCAAGATTAATGCTAAGGTCTTTTCGTAATAAATAAGTGAGAATTGATTTCATTTTTTTGTTTTTTTTCATCACTTTAATCGCATTTAAAAATATATAAATACTGTTTTCTTTTTAAACTAATCATCTTGAACAAAAGTATAATTCAAAAGAATACAGTCACAAGTGGTAAAAAAGTGTAAATAATTTAATAGATAATAGTAAATATAGTAATGTCTTTAAAGAAAATCATAGAGTACATGCTAATACATATTAATAATAAAAAATAATCTATTTATCTTATGGATATATACCACAATATTTTTAGTTAAAAACTAATCGCTTCTCCTGAAAAAGTACATTTTTAGAGTAAATACAGTATTCATGCGGGCAAGCGAGTTGTAGATCACAAAATTTACTACAAAAAATGTACCAATACTTTTTTCCTACGAGCCACCGTTTCTGAGATATTACGATTAAAAAAGTTGTAAAAGTTGTAAACGTCACAATATGCACTCGTTTCCAGGCCACCAATGAGGTAGTGTACTTAGCGCGTTTTTTTTAACGTGGTTTCCCCAGTAGGCCTGTTCCACGAGTCAGTTATAATCCTTTTTAATTTGTAACTATTGCAAAATAATGAAAATTAACAATGATTGGGAAAAATTAAAGCGACATAGCCACGCACACAATTCAACAAGGGACATAGATGTTGTCTCGAGGTTACACTGGTGTATAAATGGACTGGGTTTCATTTTACCTGATATTCTTATAGTTATAACTTATTTATATTTTATATTTTAAGTGTAAGTTACAATGACCGATAGATTTTTTTTAACATATATTAAAACTCTAGAGATATATATACGTGGCGTACTCATGCATATTATGACGTTTACAACTTTTACAACTTTTTGATTTATATATTACTAGCGTAAGGACCGGGCCGACCAAACAACTAAAACAGACCAGTGCGCTGGCCCTAAACTGTTTAGGGCCAGCGCCAATCAGTCGACAGCGGTGCGCGCGCAGGACAGATTTGCCTGTCATAAATGTCTAATTGCGTGGTAAAACAACGCAAAAATTACGATAGAAAGATTTAAAAAAAAACATGGGATATAGTATTATCGGTAAGTAACTTTATATAAATTTTGTTACAATTAAATTATTATATAAACGCATTTTAAAAGTTTTATTTTACAATTAGTTTACTTATGTTGCCAAGATTAGGCCAGGGTTGGATTCAGACCCTCAAAAATATTGTACATGGAAAACAAAAATATACTATTTAAAAAAATTATATCACTTTTGACGTTTCATGTTTCTTTTTTTTCTCATGTGCCGGGATTTTGGCGTCACGCGTCTAGTTTATCTCTGTTTAATTTCATATAATATTTTTATTTCTGTTTATTTTTTGTATAAGAACTTAGTGTAAGTTTAATTATGAATATTGGTAAGGGTAAAACGAAAAGAGTACAAAAGAAACCATATCTGCTTAATTTAATCTGAAAATCTGATTCATAAAATATTTTGAAATTATGTTTTCAAACTGATTGCTTTTGGAGCATAGAGTTTTTATCGTGGTAGCTTCTCATTATAGTTGTATCAAGGATGCAACATAAATGCATGGATCGAGCATCGATTGACCAGAAAGGGAGCTAATTCTAATTTAAGTCTATTTTTAGATAAAATTACGGTATATTCGCTTAGTGTTACTACAATATTATGTACTAAACACTGAAATAATGGTACAATTAGGATAATTATACTACGAAATCTGACCCTGGTTACGTCCTGTTTTGATATGACGTTTGTATTGTGACAGATGCGCTACTTTTTCTTGTATGAAAAAGTCACGAGTAAAATATTTAGATGGGCCTATCCTTCCTTTTGAAATCATAAATGCACATAAATGCATCGATCGAGCATCGATTGACCAGAAAGGAAGCTAATTCTAATTTTATATATATAAAAAAAAAAACGCGGTACTCATGAACAGTACAGAAATTCTCGACATAGTAGGGTTAATATTAATATGTAAAAGGACTCGATAATAACACAAGTCGACCTTTAGGTAAAATTATGGTATTTTCGCTTACTATTATTACGATACTATATACTACAAACTATAAAATAATGTTACAATTAGGGTAATTATACTACGAAATCCAACCCTGGTTGCGTCGTGTTTTGATATGACGTTTGTATTATGACAGATGCGCTGCTTTTTCTTGTAGGAAAAAGTTATGAGTAAAATATTTAGATGGGCCTATCCTTCCTTTTGAAATCATTGTAATATCTCAGAAGCAGTGGCTCGTTAACATTAATCCTCAACTTTACCATATATTTATTTCAAAACTAATGCTGCAATACATTCGGCATAACGGAGGATCTTGCTAAGCCATTTGAGGTTATATTTCCCCTTAATATTCAGACATTTTAAATAGCCACAAAATAGTTAAATGTTCATTACAAAGTTTTAGTGTAAGTGCCAAAAAGCAAAAAGACATCATATTTTTTGTCAAATTTGGGGTTTGGACGAATTTAACTCGCCGTATTTTTTTTAATGTACAACTTACATTATTTTATGAATAGAGTTTAAGAAATACATAACCTACTTAAAATACCTTCATTACAATTTACCCACTATGTTGTTTTTTATAAACCATCAAAATAAACTTCTATAATATATTTAATTATTAAATGTTTGTTATTATTAAAAGTAATACTTAAGATATCAAAAATAAAGCAGCCATTATGTATCCCGTGTCCCCGTTTTTATTTCACCAGCAAAACATTTCATAAAAGGTAAATAGGTATTTGCTTAATTAAGTTTCTATTTATATTTGATTATGTAGTGCAGTAAATATTTATTTCTAAAGGTATATATATATATAGCTCTAGCTATCATAGCTCAGAAATACAATTTTCAGATCTGATTCTTGGGGAAATTTGTATAAGTTTATTCGGTAGACTCGCCTCTTCAGAGATTATTGAGATTTTGTACATTTTGAATTAAAATCCAACAAAACGCAGGTAGGTGCTGCTTATGCTCGAGAACATGTTATATAATTTTCTTAATTAATTTAGAATATCATGTTAAAATTTCAGATAATTTTTGAAGTTTTTCAGTTTGGTGCACTAAACTAATTTAATCTTTTTATCTCTTTCTTAACAATAATTTTTCGATAGTTCTTGTAAGTAAAATGTACATCACTAGCTAACGCACACAATGACAAACAAAAACTGGTCACGCGTTTTCGGACTGTCAGGTAGTCTATCCGATATCCTATCCTAAAACTATACTATGCTATTTCTTAGGATCCGTGCCATTCGGCCAGTATATTTT